GCCTTTTTGGATTCATTTCGGACATCCAGATGCAAAATTCGACGAGGGTATCATCTTCTTCGTTGTAGTTGCAAAATTTTTCAAAAATCCATGAGATGTTAGCAAATGCACACGGTCGACGAATTACACGACTCCCCGAAGAGGCTGTTGACATAGTTTGTGGAGTACAACTTTGCAAGTTTTTCAAGTAAGAGGGTGAATGGACGGAACTAGAAAAGGAGGGCCAAGTGAAAAGGGATTTACCAATGGTGATGGGTAAAAGGAAGAAGTACCACACAGAGCGGGAAAGATGTTATTCTTTCGCGCCTGATTTTTACTTAAACCCTTAATTTTTACCGAGCATAATTTTGACTATTTACATTCACTATGGCACGTATAGTTGGACATCTATGTACAACTAGTATAAAATACGTAAGAAATTGTACCATTAATAAAAAAATGGTACAAATATGAACTTAAAATGTCTCACTATAGTGTAGTCCAAGTAATTTTCACACTTAGGTTTTAATGAATTTCATATATTTCTTCAAACTTAGTCACTACCCATACGTCAAGGAATTATTCATTTTCATGTAGGTGGTACATTTAGTCGTATATTTTATACCATAAATAAAGAAGTAGTACAATAATGCCGCAAGTGGTACCCTATACATGTGTGCTTTTTAGTGGTACCCTAATAAAAATGCAGTGTACTATATCATGTAAAATTGTACAATATTTACCAGTAAAAGTACCACTGTAACAGTCCCTTTGGTTAAAGTCATTAGATTAGGGTGCAAAGAACATGTTTAGGCTTTTATTAAGAGCCCTTATCTTCCCTAAACCTATTTCAAGGAATAGGGTTGTAAATTAAAACACTAAAAATTGGATTCCGATAAATGATGAGCATAGAGTCAGTAGTAACTGAATAGCTACCTAAACAAGGGTATATGGAAGTGTATATTTTATTACAAAGTAACTGAATACATGAATTAGCTAATGAATCCGAGTCGTATGTGTTTGGGTTTAAGGTACACGTAACCCCATTCTAAATCACATCACCATTGACTCGTAAGGCCATAATATCGACTCTATAAACCTCCAAACCATACAATTTTCAAAGTTTGAAATGAATTTCATATATATTTTCATACATAGTCATTACCCATAATGCAAGGAATTATTACCATTTGCATGTAGGTGGTACATTTAGTCATATTCTTTATACCATAAATAAAGAAGTGATACAATAATGCCTCAAGTGGTGCCCTAGACATATGTGCTTTTTAGTGGTACCCTCTAATAAAATTGCGGTGTGCATGGATTTACCGTGGCCAAATCACCATTGAATCTTATGAATCTATTTTTTACCCAACCTATCATTGGAGGAAGGTTCATCTATCAGCATTAGGGACAGAGCTGTCTTGTCATAACAAACACAAGTACCCACTATTCGTATAATATATGTACGCATATGTACCATCTTACACATTTTATAGACCAACCAGATTTTAAAGTACTACTGTAAAATTATGTATCAAATCTACTCCAAATCTTTTACCCCTTTGACTTTGAGACTATAATTACGGCAGTAAGGGGAGTTATTTTTTGCAATTATTATCCAACTAAGTACTTGAGAATTACACTTTTGCAAAAAATGAACTTTTTCTTGTGAGGTCAGTGGGTGGAATTAAGTGGTACACTATTGTATACGAAGATAGAATTATATGTACGATTATATTCTTTTTCTATACTATTGGCACATTTAATCTTCCATTGGGAACTGTATAAATTGTTTAATTTAACAAAATAGTCGGGGGGGGGGGTAATTTAATGAGGCTTTAGCACTATTAAACGTTGGAAGAGGACTATCTACTTTCATACATGCCTTGCCAAGTCAGTGCATACAATAGTAGTTTTCGTGAAAAAAAAAACAGGGAGAAATAGGAGCAAGAGAGTGGTTGCTGAAAAGGGATAGAGTAATGAAAAGAAATTGGCTCCTCATAAGACCCCAAGGGGACTTATGAAGTGTTTAGAGTATATGAAAAAATGGCCATCATGATGCAAACGGCATCGTTTGAGACTTTCACCTCCCTAAAAGAGGTAAAGAGATTATGATCTCGCACCAATCGGCAATGACAGCTAGCGGTGGGCTTCAAAATCCCATTACAGGTATTGATTTCAGCCCCGAGTACCCATTCCTTACGCCGTTTAAAATAGGAGGTCCCGGAGAATTTCGCAAAGATGCATATTGTTTCAGGCACTACCTTGTTGATGTTCACAAGATTGCAATTAGTGTTAACCTCCGAGAATTCTATGAAACAATGATAAATTGCGTGCGATCTTCGTGGTACTACAGGCATTGGCTTTGGTTTTGGGAGCTCTTTATGTGCCCCTATGATTGGGCTGCAAATGTGGAGAACATGATCAACAACCACTATAAGGAACGTGAGAAATTTTGTCTTCTACTACTTAGCCATGATTTCACGTTTGACTATGACAAAGGCGTGGTTCATGTCACTGTAAAGTGGATGAATTTCTCTCACGAGGATCCTTATTATATGATCCATTCGATCGAGGAGCAATGCATGTATTTTAGGAGCAAGATGTTGGCTGAAAATGGGTACGATGAGATGCAACACTTGGATCGCATTACTAGGGAGCCCTTTGACTAAGAGGACTACCTACAGTGTTATGTCAATAGGTTGAACGCGGCGAAGCAACGGTAGGATAACAAGTTCAATCCAGATTCCGGAGTGTTTTTGGGACGGACATACGCCTGATTACAATGACCCATACGTGGATCCATGGGAAGGATACCATGATTTTGGGTTGGACGGCGACTGATTCCTACTAGTTCTTGCATTTTCTTTGTAATGTTTCCCATGTAATTTTATTAATGTTATGTACTGTTTTAATTCTAGTGGCACATTAAACTCTCTATAAATGTACCATTTCAAATGTCATGTTCTGCCATTAAGTTGGAACTAAGTCCGTTGTTCCATGCCGACTTTGAACTAACAGATGAGCTCCCATTAAATCGACAATAGGTAACTACACAAGTCATCTAACCACTATGCAAGTTAAAAGAAAACAGTACTTTCTGCAAATGTCAAATAATTTAGTGCATCGTTATTGCCACTAGCATGCAGTGCTGCTTTATTTTAACAAATGGTACATTAATGATTGTTCTATATGTACCAATGGGGTAATGGGTACAGCTTACATGACTCTAATTCGGATTGGACCTTCCTGTACAAGGAGTCAAACCAAGTAGACTAGCTAACACCCCCACCAAAGTTTCTACCCCTAACAGTAGTAAAGTAACCGATAGAACCATCCAAATCCCTCATTTGTATACCTTCAACCAACCGCATGTATTCATTCATTGACAACGATACACTGTTTTGGGTAACTTGCTTCTTGGCAGCATTTTTGGCCCTAGCAGTTTTTTCTTTGCCTTTTTTTTCTGTGCATGGTGGGCACCTCGAATTTGTAGTACAGTGGGCCTTCTTCGTCGGTAATGGTGGATCTTTAATCCTCCTAGAGGCAGACGCTTCACAACTTTCTTGGAAACCACTTACTTGAGTGGTGGTGTTTGGCAGACCGAAACCAACTGTCACTGGTGTGGTTGTGGGATCAAGTACCTTGTTCTGCGCCACAGAAGAAAGAGTCCCAGCAACACATTGACCACCATTATCTGGAACATCATCTACATTGGCCTTAGCTGCCTCTTCCTGCCATTGGGCAACCATTGCCATCACTTCATCGACCCTCACGTCCTTGAGTTGCATCATCTCTGACAAAGCCTAAACGACCTTAATACATGCAGACGCCTTCAAGAAAATCGGTTCATAAGTCCCCATAAGAGTGTGATACTGCCTCACTTCTTCAGTTTTAAGTGGATCATGATAAGCTACTTTTACACGTGTGTGGTTCGGTTAAACATCCTTTCTCCAACGACGGAGAATGTATTTCTCAAGAACAATTCCAACACCACTAAGGTCATAGGCCATAATCATATGTGGAAAAGTGATTCCATGACACTCAAAGTGTTTACGGTCACAAGTTGCTTCATATGTGGTTCTATCAAACAAAAGCCTATATTATCTCCGAACCTTTGTCACAGACTTTTTCTTTGCATATTTTGGCTTGATCCAAACACGGTCTTCCATTACAAAATCTATCACATTGTCTCCAATTTCAATTTGATCTAGACAACGCACATACAACACTTTAGTGCACTCTCGCTGAACTTCTTTGAATTTCGCGTCTGTATAACACTTTTGGAACACCTCCTTTATAGGGAAATCCGTCTTTAAATGCCTCACATAGCGGATTGTGTTCGAGTCAGCAACTCTTTCGGCCTCACCCCTTATGGTCATAGCATCACAGTTTCAAAGCACAAACTCAGACAAGGTTGTGTTCTTGTCAATATAACCGTTGAAAAAATGATTGAAGCTTTCCGAACGTTGTGTTGTTTTCATCCCAGCCCAAAACAAATGTTTCAAATAGGCTGGGATCCACATTTGCCTTTACTTAAATAGACCTGCATGTATCATATCCAAAGAGGAAATTAGTAGCTTTCAAACACAATTCTCATAATGGAAAATAGCATCTGCCACCTTAGTGGTACAAAATAAATGCCACCTGATGTATTAAAGTGTAACCAGTACATACAAAGGTACATAATAAAACAAATGCAGTCAATACCACAACACAAAAATTGCTTCAACCATGCTGCTTGCACACTTGATCAAACTCCCTGTTTTAGTGCTTCATGCATATCATGACATGGACTACACACCCAAAATGCAAGTGCAGTAACCAAGCTTAAGGATAGATCACCTATAGCAACCAACAACCATATACCAAATCAATAAAAACAAACAAGTCATATAAAGCTAATCAACCGTACCTTCAAGCCAACTGTTTTCTTTTAGTTCATAATATTCCACTGCATCCATCAAACGAGCTACAAATTCTTCTTCATCTAAACTACTATATATGATATTCTCAAACTAATCCTTCACAGAATCATATTGCTCATGCTTACCCACGTACTTCGCAAACTTTTGAAGGATGTGCCAAATGCACCACCTATGACAAGTGTCACTCATGGTTATATTCACATTTTTCCTAATAGCCGGATCTTGATCCGTCGGGATTGAGACAGGAGCTTTCCTTCCCATGCAATGTAGCCATGTCCTCAACACCCACTTATAGGTCTCTGTCGTCTCCCGAGATATCAATACACATCCAAAACGTATACTCTGTATGTGGTGATTCATAAAGACAAACAAAGCAAAGGGAAGCTGAAATTTGTTCGTTAAGTATGTACTGTAAAAACAGACAACATCTCCAAACTCTTCATACGCAGCTCTACTCCTCGCATCTACCCAAAAAACGTCTTTTAATGCACCATCTTTCCCAAACCTACAAAGATGAAAAAAAAATTGATTATCTAAACTCATTTTGTTGAAGTACTCAATCATTCCATTCGCAACACCCTCAGTTAGCTCTAGTCTTTGTTTCTCAGCCACTGCATTCTCCATCTCTTTCTGCGTAAATGACATCTCATACATTCCGTTCTTCTCCCTCGCAAAACAATTATACATCTGCGATACCTTTACCCTAGACTTCTTTGCATTACACACCCGGTTCACCAAGTGTCCATTTTTAGACACAAACTCATGCTTCCTGAAAATTGTTACATCCTTTGCCTTTCTCGATGTAACTAAGTGACCTTTGTGCTCCAAGTGTAACCTACAAACAACCAAATTCCCTTCCTTATCAACACTAGCATACAACTCAACCTCACACCCACACTTTTTCGTCTTCCGTTTCACAACTGTTTCCTCATCTTGCAACAACCCTTCCTTAAGTACATCCACTTTAAGCTTCCTGGAGGATCTTCCATAGCAGTCGCAAGTCCACTTAGCATTCCTTTTTTGCTTACAATACGTTTCATCCCCCAAATCATTCTTCACCTTGGAAAACCCAGCAGCAGCCCTCACTATACCAAACCCCTTTTGCCTAGAATAACTCCAAAAATAACTATCAACCTCATCCCAACTACCAAATACCATACCCAAACTCGGGCTCGTACTTCCTCTTCTACACCAAATATTGTGCTAACCAGTACGGTGTTCTTCTTCGGCGTTATGAAAGTAGAACTTCCTACCCCTGCACCTCCATCTTCAACTCCTTCCTCCTCTTCCACTTCCTAGGAATTTGACCCCCCCTTCCTCTCCCTCACTATCAGACCCCCATTCCTCTCCATCATAATATGATCCCTCTTCGATTTCCTCCTCATCCCCTTCTCCATACCCATGCTCACTCTAAAATCCCTCCTCATTACCACATACATCATCATCATCATCATCACTACCACCAACGCCCCCCAAAACAATGACACATAGACAACAATCATATACACAACACCACCACAAGAAACTAAGAACAAAATCTACATTATACATATCAATTTCTCCATAGCAATTCATTTCTATAATATACAATAAAAACCAACTAGGATACGATCTAAAGATAAGATCACAACAGTTTCATAACAATTGCAGAGAAGTGAAAGACTAGAAGCAGCCAACAGGTGTACCACACTAACATGTACAACTTGGTTAGAACTTTCTCAGCAAATGACGCAATTGCATACATTCTTACTGAATATATAAGCAATTTTTTTTTCTTAGCAGAACTGTTAGTTTTAAACTCATAGATTACATGACACATGCTGTGATTTTAATTGGGAAATATCACATAACCATACTATTTTCATATGTTAAGAATACATAGCCACATAGAAATGATCCAAGAGTTTGACAATCAAAAGAAATTGGGAATATATATAACATCATAAAATCAAACAAGCAGCCTGCCTAGGTTAATAATCACAATAACAAGATTCTTAAGCAGGGTAGTGCTCTCAAGTGCACTACGAAAGAGGGGGGCAATAATGCTGCTTGGTTCGTTGCAACTAAGCTACTTCAATCCATATTAAATTCAGACTCCACCAATGTTTACATTAGTAGGATCCCCAATTTCAGCTACTCATTTAATTGAATTCAAGCTTTTTAGTTGTAGTCTATTGAATAAGAATGCTTTGACCAATCCCAAATTTCAAAATAGCATTTCACATTTCACATTTCACATTTCTAGTGGCATAACTAAAAGATTGAAAACTTATAAAATGCTTATAACAGAGCATTTAATCTTAACTTGTGTGGAAAAATAGTCCTATACGATTTTTAAAAGGGCTCTCCAAAACCTCAAACCTCAAATGTACACACTCGTCATTCTTGTGGTAAATACGTAGTAAGAATCTAACAATTGACACTAATTTAATCGGGTTACAATCAACTAATCGAGTTACAATAAAAAGTCCAACAATACCAACATCAATTGCTCTAAAAAATGACTTACATTTACACAATATGCCAACTAAGTTAAGAAATGTCACATTCACTATCAACAACAACTATGTATTTTTAATTACCCCAAAAAAACCTAACTGTTCAGCTAATTCAATTGAACTGTGTTAATTCCCATAATTCATGCATTACTAATTGCTAAGTAAAAAGAAAAATAACACATGCACAACAAATCGACCTACATAAGGTTTCGAACACATACATTGTCACTATCAAACCGCAACTTCCTCCTTGCGCAACCATGGCCTTCTTCTTCCGGCAATGCTTCCGCTATGTCAACTCCCAATATATCAACTAAACGATTTCGCATTGACAAGATGTACTTTGGATTCAGAATATAACTGCAATTTTGGCTTTAGCTAGCTATAAGAATCGTTTGAGCTTAAGTGTTTATGGCAGATTACACCATTAAAGCTGCTGAAGCACTGATTCTTCCTCAATTTTATTAATAAAATTATGTAAAAAGTAACTTTTGTGGGGAGTGGGTGATTTTTGGTTTCCCGCTTTATAATTCACTCCCAGTTATTTTTTCTCAAAGTCTCGTTGGTTTTGAATCCCAATTGGCACTTTCAGGCCCCACACACCTTTGATAAAGTTCCACTTATTATAAAATATGTCATCCTTTATGTTAGCAAACCAATAGGGACTATGCGCCTATAGCTAGTTTTCCTAAGTTAGGTATATTTGTCCTACATTGTACATACTTAAGCTTGGTTTTGCAAACTTTCGTAACAACCTTTCAATTTCTTTCTCCAAATTTTTTTTCTTTTCATTGGTTAGCTGTGATTGGGTGTTTTATATATATATATATATATATATATATATATATATATATATATATATATATATATATATATATATATATATATATATATATATATATATATATATAAGCTCTAACCACTAATGATAGAAAAAAAACAAAGGGATCAAGAATGCTACAAAACTTAATACATAAAATTAATAATAAATTAAACATTACATAATAAAAGGAAAAGTCTTATAAATTGCTTATTGAGTTTAATATAAAAACACCTACAATACCCCCTTCTAATAAAAATAAAATAAAATAAATAAAAAAAAAAACTTTAAAATACTTGATTTAGTAGTCATCATATTTATTTGATTTGTGATTATGACATTCCGTACTTGGCCTTAATGATTTCACATACTTGATCATGATTTTTTCTAGCTTTTTCATCCATATTAGACGTGTCCCTGCAAAGTATCACGAAATCTTGTTGTCGAATGTGTTCTTCGCACTATGAAAGTCTTTTTTACTATAGTTCTTGATAATTACCCCATTTCTCATCAAGATGAGCTGTTTTGCCTTTTGCTTTACTTTTATTCCTCGCACTTGCTTTAGCCTCCTTTTGTCCCATTGGTCGTTTATCTCCCATTTTCAAGTCATCAATTTCACTAGTATTAGGATTTGAGGAAGAGGTAGTGTTATCTTTTGGAATAGAAACCTTTGTTCTTTTTGTAGAACTACTTTATGTAGAAACATAATCTTTCCACTTTGGGGCATTTCGAAGAATTTTCCACGAATGCGAATAAGTAGATTTGTTTTTTCTTGTTTTCACTTTTTCTAGTAAAAAGTTTTTGGGCATTACTAATCATTTGGTCATCGTCATTGCAACTTGGGTTAACACTTTTAATCTGTATATAACACCCATTGAACTTGCTAATCTCAGGACTCATTTTATACTAGTGATTTGTGGCTTGCTCAATGGTTATTGGAGGGCCTTCCCTTCTCCAATTGTTATAATACTCTACAAGGTTTTTCAAATAATCCGCCTTACTTTGATGGGTGCCTTTGATAGAATCAGTTGTGAAATCTATCCAACTATTACATAAATCTTCATCCATGTATTGAGTCCAAGAAATCTTATTTGTTGACTGACTAGTAGCTTGTGCATTTACCTCTTGTATATTATCACTTTGAGGAGTGTGAGACTCCATTTGAAAGCTTTGGAGTGATGTTACTTGGTGCATATTAGAGACCCCTACACATTCTCTTCTTGTAGCATCATGAACCACATTAGATTCACTTCAAAATGGAGGTTGAGGATGGTAGCTTGACATGTTGTCTTGCAAATTAGGCATTGTAGTATTGGGATAGTAGTAGCCAGGGTGGTAGTGTGTTTAAGGGTAGGAATTTTCGGAGGTGAAATTTCCACTATTTGATGAATTTCCCAATCCAAAATATTGACTAAATGGATTATCCGTATCATCCATCTAAATTTTTTACGAGGAACTTATCGTAGATATAAAAGTATTTGTAGATTATGTTTTTATGAAACAATATACTGGTTGTATTCTTAAGTTTTAAGAAAATATTTATAGATGCATAAGGTAATAATTCAAAGTAAAATATGGTTATCAAATATTGTATGTTGGCTAAAATTTTGGCAAAATCTTTTATTGATAAAATCTAATTTGTTACGTAGTATTATATAAAGTAATCAAAAAGTTCAAATTTAAAAATTGTGAAAAAAAATTTCAATGAAAAATACCTATAATCTTGTAAAATATAGTTACAAGTGAATTTGTACAGTGAATGTTAGTCAATTTTTTTTAAAAAAGGATAAAAAAAAAGTCTACCTATAAGCTAGGATAAAGTGTAGTCAACATCAGCTGCATATATGTCAGTTTAGACTTGAGATAAAGATGGAAATTATATTTTAAAACCTATTTTTTTTATCAAAAGATAAAAAATAAAAAAGTTGCATTATCTTTTTATTTAAAAATTGTAGATCACATATAAATTTATAATGGACAATCAATCGTGTTCCCCACTCTCCAATATTTTAAAATAATTTATAAATCTTGAAAATTTCCAAGTAGTGTAGCTTAACTCAGCAGTACTTCTTGGTTGAGCAGATGTTTCAATAGTGCTCCAATGGTAAAGCAACACTTTTGTTATTTTTTATAATTGCAAGCAAGTCCTTAAAAACACCATTGGAGAAGCTCTCATATAACTATCATTCGGCTTCATCCTGAACCAATTGGTTGTTGGTGTTGTGGTGATTGGGATTACACTTGGTAGGAAGGATTCGTTTTTGATCCCTGCAACAATAATTGGGAAAGGACAGGAACCTAACCACCCATAAATTATCCCAAATCCGGATTAGCGCAAAGGGCGAAACGGGGGGAACACAAAAAAAAATTCACTTCATCTTTTTATTAACAAAATAATGAATCAAACTACGGTGACTTAACCAGAGTGTGATCTTAGGTCGAATAAAAAGTGGAGGATGATTTTTGTAACTACTTTGTGGCATTTATGGTCTCATAGAAATATCACAGTTTTTGAAGAAAAAGAAATCAGTCCAACCTCTTTTTTTTTTATAACAAAATTCCTTTTATTGTCAGCAATCTAATAATATTTGACAGGAACCTTCGATAAAGGGAAAAGGAAAGGCTCCTACTTCATCTTCTAGTGATTAGGAGGCACCTAGGAAGGGATATTTCTAGATAAATACTGATGGGGCATGTATGAATTTTGTTGTGTCTTTTGGTGGGGGTGTTATTAGGAGATCGGATTTCTCATGAAAATATAATGCAATTTTCCATTGGCTGCTAAATTTTATGTTCGAAAATAAATTCAATTTTCTTTTATTTTAATTTAAAATTTAAAG